TTGATGTTTATTGATATCTATTACAATGATTCATGATTCCTATATATAGAAGAGGGTGAGTGTGTAGTAGGTAAGGAGTAGGTGAAGTGGAGGTGGTAGTGGTGTAGTGGGTTAGGTTTAGTGGAGTAGGTGAGGTGGTAGTGGTGTAGTGGGTTAGGTTTAGTGGAGTAGGTTTAAGTGGGTGAAGTAGGTGGAGAGTAGGTGAATTTTAACACCCCTCAACAAAATGATGTTGCAGAACGCAAAAATCGCCATCTCCTTGATGTTGCTCATTGTCTATCCTTTGAGATGCGGGTTCCTCGGTCCTATTGGGGGGAAGCAATTCTCACTGCCACTTATTTGATTAATGGTCTTCCTACCCAAGTCCTTCAAAAACAAACACCTCTTCAAGTTTTGTTCAGGTCTACCCTTTCCGAGTTCTGCATTCCTCTTAAGACTTTTGGTTGCGTTTGCTTTGTCCATAATCATTCACCCACTCGTGGTAAATTGGATCCTAGGTCTCTTAAGTGTATTTTTCTGGGTTATTCTGCCACCAAAAAAAGTTATAAGTGTTATCATCCTCCCACTCGCAAATGATTTGTCTCCATTGATATCACTTTCTTTTGAGTTTCAGCCTTACTTTCTGACCCTCCCGGTCTCACAGTCATCCCTTCAGGAGGAGCCTTGATGTGAAGAGATTCTTGTTCCACTTCCGCCAGTGATTGAATAAATAGCGAATGATAAGCCAATAGTTGTAGAGGAAAAGGAAGCAGGCAGAATTTATATCAGGGACAAGGACAAACAGCAAGTCACCTGGATGCAAAAGACTACTTTCCTTCCTCTACTACCAACTTCTTCTCCAGATGAGTGCCCAAAGTCACCCCCCTCTTTTGAGAGTCCAGGTAATTCTGATTCTAGTGCTTCTATTCATGTTTCGTCAAATCTTGATGTTCTCATTGTTAATAAAAAGGGGGTTAGGTCATATACTCCGCATCCTATTAGTAATCATGTCTCTTATTTTCATCTGTCTTCCTCATATAAAGCTTTTCTGTCTAAAGTGTCTTCTATGAGTCTAACTACCAATTTTCAGGATGCTCTCTCTATTCCTGAATGGAAACATGCCATGATGGAAGAGATGAGAGTTCTCAGCAAGAATGGCACTTGGGAGTTAGTGGAGTTACCTAGAGGAAAATATCCAATTGGGTGTAAGTGGGTGTACACGGTAAAACACAAGGCAGATGGTTCCATAGAACGGTACAAGGCAAGACTAATTGCTAAGGGCTTCACTCAAACTTATGGAGTGGATTACCAGGAGACATTTGCACCGGTTGCTAAGATGAACTCTGTAAGAATCTTACTCTCTCTTGCTGCAAATTTGGATTGGCCACTTCATCAATTTAATGTGAAGAATGCCTTCCTTCATGGAGACCTAGCAGAAGAGGTCTATATGGATATTCCTCCTGGTTTTGCGGATGCTAAGTCCAACGGTAAAGTATGCAGGCTCCGAAAGTCACTTTATGGGCTAAAGCAGTCTCCTAGGGCTTGGTTTGAAAGGTTTGCTCAAGCTATGCTGAAATATAGGTTCAAGCAAAGTCAAGCTGATCACACCTTATTTGTGAAACACTCCTCAGATGGTAAGACCACAACTCTTATTGTCTATGTTGATGATATTGTTCTGACAGGAGATGATGTTGAGGAGATTTCTCGTTTGAAATAATATTTAGCCAAGGAGTTTGAAATCAAAGACTTAGGCTATTTGAAGTATTTTTTGGGCATTAAAGTAGCTCGATTCAAGGATGGCGTCTTCATATGCCAGAGGAAGTATGTACTTGCTGAAGGAAACTAGAATGCTTGGAGGTAGACCATGTGATACACCTCTAGAACCAGGCCAAAAACTGAGTAAGGCTCAAGAAGGAGATCCAGTGGACAGGGGGAGATACCAGAGACTAGTGGGGCAAGCTCATATACTTATCCCATTCACGTCCAGACATTGCCATTGTTGTGAGCATGGTGAGCCAGTTCATGCATGCTCCTAGAGCTTCCCACTTGGAGGCAGTTATGAGAATCGTGATCTATCTGAAGACTTCTCCTGGAAAGGATCTCTATTTCTCTAAACATGGCCATCTTAGTGTGGAGGCATTTACTGATGCAGATTGGGCTGAATCAGTCACTGACAGACGATCAACTTCCGGATACTAGACATTTGTTGCTGGCAACCTAGTAACATGGCGAAGTAAGAAACAGAATGTAGTTGCTAGATCTAGTGCTGAGGCAGAATTCAAAGCTATGGCTCAGGGTGTATGTGAGTTACTCTGGATTAAACTATTGTTAGGTGACTTGGGAATCCATCAGACTGACTCCATGCAACTATACTGTGACAACAAGGCCGCAATCAACATAGCTCATAATCCAATTTAACATGATCGAACTAAGCATGTGGAGATTGATAGGCACTTCATCAAGGAAAAACTCACTAGTAGCATCATATGCATTCCCTTTGTGAAGACTGGAGACCAACTAGCCGATGTTCTTACCAAGGGGCTAGGGAGCAAACCATTTCATGGCATTTTCAACAAGCTGGACATGAGGGATATCTTCGCACCAGCTTGAGGGAAAGTGTTGGAATAGGAAATAAGTGATTGTATTTTATTATTCTTATTTATTCCTTTGATTGGTGTAATGAGCTGGACCATATATTGTAACTTATGGCACTCCTATAATTACTCAGTATTATTAATATAAAAGGGAATGAAGTCTAACTAATTCCCTAATTCCTTCTCTTCTCTAAACTTACACTATATCTATTTTTTATTGAGAGTATATTTTCTTGCATTTAAGAAAATAATGTCTAATTGGACATGATTCTCACCCGGAAAAAAAAAAAAAAGATTCTTGAACATCATTGATTATATATATATATTGAAATACATTACTAAATATGTGTATGAATTGTTTAAAAAATATTTTAAATTTTTTTCTTGTTGATAAAACTAGTTCAATAAAATAGACGGGTTAGTCGGATAGATTTGTCCAACCCATATCCTATTCCACTCAACCTGTTTAAACCCATTTATTAAATAGGCGGGTTTGAGTTGAATTATTTAAATGCACAACCCATTTAAACCCGCCCATTTGCCACCTCTAATATTTATCATGTCATATATAAGAAAAAATAATTATTATGTCATGTATATGAATATTTAAGTCAAATATAATAATTTTGATAATCTAAAGGAGATGAATGTGTAAATTTACATTGTTTGTGTTTTATCATTGGATTCCAAGTTATTTTATACAAGCTTGTAATGTGTTCCGCGTGTGTCAAAGTATTAGAAAGTGTCCGACAAGTGTCATGTTGTGTCAGTGTCTAACACGATGTATGACACAACTTGTTACCTTCTTAGAAGTATTTGTGCCTCTTAGGTTAGGTGACATTGAAAGCTTTGAGTCTCGTCTTTGTGTCTCCTCTCTCTCTTGCCTCGTCTTTTCTCAACTCTTTGTTTCACTCTCAGATCTGTATGCATGTTTGATTGTGTTTGTTTCATTCACATGTTTAAATCGATCTATTTGTGAGTTTAGTTGCATACAAGTTTGAATCGAAGATTTGCGTTTTGCATTACCAACCAATCCGACAGCCAAATTGAATGGTTTCATGCTGTTGATTTTGAATAGCAAATCAGTCGACAATGGTTGATCAATTTTATTACCCGATGCATTCGGTTCAAGTGATGACGGGCCAAGGAGAAATCCGAATCAAACTGACCTGTGATCAACCCTAACCCCCATCTCAATCAGATGGCTCAGCCACCTCTCCTCAACCCAAAGCTATGGCCAACCCCATGTCAACCCATCTCCTCTCCATGACCCTCGAAAAGAAAACTCTTCCATCAACAAGATGTCATCTCAATACCAAGGGTTGGCTTGGTGGATGAAGCGCTCCCCTTGCCCTTACTAGGCGTGATTCCGAAGTTTGAGTCTTCCTGTTGCTCTATGCAGTTTTTGCTTCCCTCTTCGTGATTCAAGATATAAAAAAATAAAAGAAGGCAAAAAACTTCTAGCCTTGACTCCATTATTAAGAGTAGCAACAACACCGTTTCCTGTGTACTCATACTTGTAGTAACGATAGCACCAACTCAACATAGTCCTCAATAACTCATAACAAGGGCCCCCTATCAGAAATTTAACGTATCTCCCCAACCCTCAGTCATTCCTTGCTCCTGTAGGTTCCTCAAAATCTGAGAATTTTTCAAAGTCTCATCCTATAAAAAAGATACCACTGATAGGTGCAACTGGACACAATAAAAATAAATAAATTGTCACTTGGTTTGGGCCTATGTAGACTAATCAAAATCCTCCATCTCTCTCCTCTAGCAAGCCCATCTCAATTAAATGATGTGCATTCTGCCATACCACACCTCCTCTCCTCAGCTACTTGCTCTACAAAAATACCATATGATTCAAACCCTTCAAGATGTGGTTGTGATGGTTAGGGGTTGGACGTGAAAGGGAAGGGGGGAAGTGGCGGTGGTTAGAAGGGGCTGGAGAAGGAAGGTGCAGTGGTCAGAAGGGCTGGGGAAGGGAGGGAAATAGATGGTGGTGGCAGTTGTTAGAGGGGGATGTGTGAGGAAAGGAAGGAGAGGGAGACAGTGGTGGTAAGAAGGGGCGAAGGAAAAGGGAGCGAGGATGGAGGTGCTGGATTTTGTTTGTTGCGAACAAAGAATTTCTGGTAGATCGAGTGAAGACTCACCACCCATCATCATCATCTGACTCCAAAATTAAGAGCATTTTTACCTTTTTTCCCCACAAATCATTATCTCTTTATATCTTGGAAGGGAAAATACACTTGCAGTTAATGGCATCCACTACATTTATGAGTCATATACTAAAAGGGAGTTGGAATGTTGAGTTTTGGACAATAGGGAGGCAAAGTGCAAAAGGATCATAGTTCAAGCGGGTTTACTATAATTTATCCCAAAAAGAAAATGACATTGCTATCACTTGTAATCAAGAAAGTTGTTTACCTGGACATCATCATTAAACATTCTGTAGCTATTTCTGTAACGCTGCAATAACTTGAAGGCCCACTTGCTTTGGAAATCTTCAAACTGGGGCAATCCAAGTTGTATTAGTATCTTTTTTGAGAAGGAGAAAACATTAAGAAGGGATAAAAGGTAAGTCAAATTCTATTTAATAACTTGTACAAGAATTAAACCTAAAAAAAAAAAAAAAAAAAAAAGAGAGATACCTGTACAATCACATTTGGCCAACGACTGAACACAGCCTCCATGAACTCATCAATAACTGAAATATACTCCTCTCCATCAAGGCGGTGTTCTTGCAATCCCAAATCTAAGACAAAGGATGACGACATCATTAATATTTTCAATACAAAGAGCAAATAATTTTTCTAGATGTGCACAAAAATTTTAAGGAAATTAGAATGTGATAAGAAGCCAATATAAATAAATTCATGCCAACAATGGCCTAAATGTCAAATCCCATATTTTATTAGGTAAATTTAGAAGTAAATCCACACACACACACACACACAAAAAATATATATATAAAAATAAAAATAAAAAACCAGACATGCTTGATGTAGTTACCAATACTAAGAAATTAGTAAGTGTACACAACCATATGTATATTTAAAACTAGGATGATATATAAGCATTGAATCCTGATATGCTCCAATATTGGCAATGCAGATTTTCTTGGAGATACAAGGTTCACCCAATTTACAACAACAAACAATGATGTAATCTGGGTCCTTACAACATTTATATGCAGGAAGCTAGCTTAACTTCAAGACAACAACATGTTGCAGTCATGCAGCTAAACGAACTGCTCCAACTATCAGGAACAATGAGACATTTTTCTTACATTTCTAAAACTTTCAATAACTCAAATTAACTACTAAAACAGAGAAAGAAGAGGCAAAATCCAATGAAAATCACATTACAAAAAATTAATTGAATTCCCACTAGAACTAGGGATTCTAATTTACAGGAAGATCACTAATTTGGAAGTAAATAAGTTCTTATGAAATATGTTCTTGAAACCCGCATGCACCCTCTTCAAAGAAAATACTGTTACAGAAAAAACAACTATATTTAGAATTAGAAAGTTGTGTCAGTACATCAAACAGGGTATCGATTGCTAGTGTGATGTCATCTGTTTCAAAGAAGATTGAGATCAGATCACTTAATTTAACTGTTACAAACTGACAGGAAGACAAGCATAATACAGATTAAGTCAACATTATTCACATTGATGACTAAACATCAGACTGGCCTGCGTACGAACTAGGATAGTCCACTGCACTGCTATAAGAACATCAGCTTTTTGGCAGCATGGTAGAGCAGTTGCCTGATGCAAACACAACACAACCTCCAGATGGAAACACTAGTTCCATTTGTTTTCTAGTGGCATTCCTTGCAACTAGTAGAACATAATGTTGGCGAATCCTTCTGGATTTGGTTGACTTGGTGAACAGGGAATTTACATCCCTTTAAAACTAAGATTGTACAGCCTGTATACTTTGTATTTGTTTCCTATCATAACTGCAGTTAGTTAGGCCCTAACTTTTAGCAATTGTTTCCTGATTTCATGTAGAATTAGTTCCCTAAATAAGTGTCATTTGTACTTTATATATTTTGTATGTTTTCCCTCAGTTAATAGTAAGAAGAATTATTCATCTATATGGTATCAGAGCTCTATGTTTTTTTCTGCTCCTGTTTCTTCTTCTATCTCAGGAATCCTTCTGCACAGCCTTCATTGCTGATTGCAGAATATCTCTTGGCCTTCATTGCCTTTAATCCCTGGCCTGCGATCGCCTTCAAACAGTTCAAACTTAACCCAGAAAAATCCCACAATGTCTGTTACATCCGAAACCACTGCTCAAACCAACACCAAGTCAAACCTCACATGGTGAATATCAGAACCTACAGCCATCATATCGCAATGGAAGAAATTATCTGGTATGGTCTCAATGGGTAAGGACGTTTCTAAAGGGTAAGGGAAAACTCAGCCACATGATTGGTCCGATGCCGAGTGAAGAAGATCCAAAGTTTGAGGCTTGGAATGTGGAAGACTCCTCAATTATGTCATGGCTCTGGAATTCGATGCAACCACAGATAAGTGGAACCTGCATGTTTTTGACAACTGCCAAAGACATATGGGACACCATGAAGCAGTCCTACTCCAAAGTTAAGGATGCAGCCCTGGTTTATGAAACTAAAACCAAGATTCACTCGACAAAACAAGGTACAAAGTCTGTTACTGAGTATTATAACACTTTGAAAGGTTTATGGCTTGAACTCGATTACAATCAAAACATTAGGATGAAGTGCAGTGATGATGCCGCTATGATATTAAAATTTGTGGAAAGCAAAAGAATTTATGAGTTCTTGGCTGGACTCAATGTGGAACTTGATCAAATTCGGGTGCAAGTGCTTGGAAAAGACACTTTACCTTCTTTGAATGAGATATTGTCAGTCATACGCACTGAAGAGGGAAGGAGGACTGTGATGTTAGACTCTCCTACTGATGAAGGATCTGCTCTGGCTGTGGTTAAACCACCATCTCCAAACAAATTCAGTGGCCTGAACTCAAACAAAGGAGAGGCATACAGACCACCAATCGATAAAGAGGACCTTTGGTGCAGCCATTACAAGAAACCAAGGCGTAATAGGGAGATGTGATGGAAATTGAAGGGAAAAACACCTTTTGGCAGAAACAACAACACTCAACAACGGTATGCTCTACAAGGCAACCAACCAAGCAAATATTGTCGTTGATGATAAACCTAGCCAAGACTCAACTAGTAGCAACTCGGAAATCGGTATATTACAAAAGGAAGAAATTGAGAAACTTCGGAGCTTCCTTACTTCACTTGAAAAACTGGTTGGCTCATGTTCATTGGCACACTCAAGTAAGTATTCCTCATCTCAAGCCCTTAGTGTTTCAAAGGACTGTAATTTGCATGGAACCTGGGTAATAGACTCAGGTGCCACAGACTACATGACCAACTCTTCACACTATTTCACAACATACACCCCATGCCCTGGAAACCAAAAAATCCGAGTTGCTGATGGAACCCTTGCATTCATGGCAGGAAAAGGAACCATAAATCTTACACCTTCTCTTGCTTTGAAATCTGTTCTTCATGAGCCTAAACTTTCTGTAAATCTTTTGTTTATTTTATACATCAGATTACAATGGCAGGAAAAGGAACCATAAATCTTACACCTTCTCTTGCTTTAAAATCTGTTCTTCATGCGCCTAAACTTTCTGTAAATCTTTTGTTTATTTTATACATCAGATTACAAAAGATCTAAACTGTAAAGTGACATTTTTTCCCAATCATTGTGTCTTTCAAGAACCGGTTATGGGGAGGATGATTGCGCTTGCTAAAGAGAAGGAAGGACTCTACTGTCTGGATACTTATAGTGGCAAGGACAGTAGCCGTCTACCTTTATCTCATTTCTCAGAAAAATTCTCACCAAATAAAGCACAAATTTCGCTTCATCACTTTTGTCTAGGACACCATTCTTTCTCTGTATTAAATACTATGTTTCCTGGTTTATTTCATAATTTGGATGATAAGTTTTTTCATTGTGAAGTATGTTAGTTTGCCAAACTTCATCGTGTCTCATTTCCATTGAGTGATAATAAATCTTTATATCCTTTCTCTTTGATTCATAATGATGTGTTGGGGCCATCTAGGATTCCAAATATTACTGGCACTCACTGGTTTATTTTCTTCATTGATGATTGTACTCGTGTTACTTGGTTGTTTCTCATGAGAAACAAATATGACGTTAGTCTATGAAGCATGGACACGCCAAAATGAAAGCCGTGACGGTGTCGGATACGGGGACACACCGGGGACACGAGGACACATACGGGACACGACATCTGGCGTGTCCCCTTAATTTAATTTATTTTTTTGCAGGGGACACGCGTGTCCAAATCTGGACATGCCATGGACACCGCAAGAAGAGTAAATGAAAGGGAAAACGAGTACAAACCTGGTCGGCGACGATCCAAAGCCCTTCGACTTCGACGATCTAGAGCCCCATTCGACTTCGACGAGCTCTCTCTCGCCTTCGCCTTTTCAAAGGTCTCTCTCTATCGCCTTCTCTCTCTCCCTCGCGATCGCGATCACGATCACGATCGTCTCCCTCTGTGTGGCTTCTATCTCACTTCTGTCTCACTCTCTCTCAATTCTCTCCCATCTTTGTCTTCTTGTCTTCATTCTCTCTCTCTCTCTCTCTCTCGCGTCTTTGTCTTCTTTCATCTACTGGACTCGTATATATATAATATATAACTATTATTATTATAATAATAATAACTGATAGTATTATTATTATAATAGTTATAAAGGATGATTATATAACTATTATTATTATATAACTATTATATTATATATATTTATACATATTAATAAAAATAAATAAACATGTATATAAAATAAAATAAAAAAATTAATTAGAACATATTACTTAAAAAATATAATAAATAAATAAAATAATTAATATGTATTAAAATAAAAATATTTATAAAAAAATTAAAAAATTTGCCGTGTCCCCTATCGTGTCCGTGCCCCCATTTTTTAGAAATTGCCGTATCCCGTGTTCGTGTCCATGTCCGTGCCTCATAAACGCTAGTGTTAGAATATTTCTTTATTTCCTTATTTAGATTAGATTAGATTGTGATTGATCGATTGATTCCTTAATCAGTCAATCAATCAATCAATATAAAAGGTGATTCCTTAATCAGTGCCTTAGGGCTTCCTTTTGTAACAATTGATTGATTAATATAAAAGGTGATGATATCATAATCATCACCCAGGCTTTGTATTCTCTTAAATTACATAGTATCAGAGCCAAAACCCTAAAAACCGTCACCCACACAGCCGCTGCCACCAACCAGCCGCCACCCATCACCACCCATCCTCCACCTCTGGTCCGTAAGTCTCTGTTAGAACTAGCCAAGGTCCCACAGAGCTGTTTCAGCTTCAGCCAAAGGCCTCTCTGGTCTAGTCGACCCTTGTGAGGGCTGTCCTAGCCTCTTTTTGTGTATTTCGGCTCTTGTGGATGAGTGTTTGAGAGCTGGTCATCTTCTGTTGCCCAAGTCTTTTTCCCTCCACTTTCTTGAACACAGTTCAGCACTTGTTTTGATTGGAGACTTGTTTTCCCGTATTTGATTTATTTTTTAGGTTCATAGATGACCCATGAATCTAATTGTTATGCTCTCATAGTGGTCTGTATGTGATTTTGCTTGTTCCAGCCCATTACATTCCTCTTTCTATTCTTGTGATTCGTGTAAGGGTTTTTGTGTTGAAA